GGGGTTTCAAGAGTTTATGTTTAGGGATTTTAGGGTTTAGGGTTTAGGGTTTTCGGTGGTTTCAAGAATTTATGTTTACGGTTTAGGGTTTTCGGCGGTTTCAAGAGTTTATGTTTAGGGTGTAGGGTTTAGGGTTTTAGAGGGTTTCAAGAGGTTTGGAGGTTTATGTTTAGGGTTTAGAGTTTAGAGTTGAGGTTTTAGGGGTTGGGAGTTGTAGGATGCGTCTTGACTTCTACACGTCTAGCTTTAGAGTTTAGGAGCTCTAAACACCAAGCCACAAGCCCAACGAGCTCGCACCATAGGAGCAGTTGCACCCTAAACCCTAAACCCTAAACCCTAAACCCTAAACCCTAAACCCCTAAACCCTAAACTCTAAACCCCTAAACCCCTAAACCCTAAACCCTAAACGCTAAACCCTGTGGCTCCGATGTCCACGCGAGTTTTGCTGGGTTTATAGTTGACAGGTACACTCTTACACAAAATCCCTTACACCATCCTTATATAGACTTCTAGGACCTTGATAGAACACTGTTTGACTGAGTTAGTTTGCGGGCTCCTGAACCAAAAACCCCGAACCGTCAAGCAAACACTGGTCATTGGTGTTCCGCATTTCGTATGCCTGTTCAGCGAAAGTTGATCCTGCAGCCTAAAGCCCTGCGCCCCAAACCGTTACGCCCTAAATCCCAGGGCTGTACTGAAACACTCGCCAATACTACCACAACTTTCTGTCAGGACGGCAATCCCAAGGAGGAAATGACGAGCGAAGTGTGGTGTAAGATTTGGGACGACTTCTTTGTGGGGCGCTCGGTTTAGTGTCATGCAAAGCGGATTTCGCAGCCACATGTGCATGTCGAGAAGGTCTTGTACAATTGCGCCCTAAACCCTAAACCCTACACCCCGATATGGTTTGGCATGGGTTGGGTGTAAGGTTTGATGGCGTGGCCATGATTAGGAAGATGTTCTTGGCTTGTTTAGGTCCATGTCCCTAAACCCTAAACCCTAAAGCCTCAACCCTCAACCCTAAACCCAAACCCTAAACCCTAAACCCTCAACCCTAAACCCTAAACCGACTTCATAGCCCCGGGCCCCAAAGCCTGAAGCCATCTTGAACCCTGCACCCCAAAGCCGGAACTGAACCGTTCCCTTCAGACTCTGCAGTCCGAACACAACATCTGGGAGCTAGGATTAGGGGGACCCTTGGGGATATAGACCCTCTCAATCATAAGGTCCCTTTTAAGAGAGCCAAAAGTAGGGTTCAGAAGGGGTACCCTTTAAGGGGTACCCCTAATAATACTACCTAACATCCCTGAAACTGAGGCTCTGAATCCGAAGCACTGATATAAAGGTGCCTTAGTAGTTACATCATTTTGGGGGCTTCCTTATTCTACTTCTAGTACGATGGGCCCCAAGACCCTATTCTGAAGAAAAAGGCCCCTGTATTAAACCCCTCATCTCAAAGAGGTCCAGGACAGCCCTGTAGGCCCTACGCGCCCCTAAATAAAGCCACAAGCTATGAAGCTGGAGCTACACTGAGTCCCTGAGCCCGCACCTCCCAGGAGCCCCCATAAGCGTAATATAGAAGCCTTACCCATAGGCCCCATTGTAGTTCCTTTTGGGGGTTCATATTTAGACTCCTATAAGGTAATCCCAAAAAGGAACTACTATGGGGCCTATGGGTAATAAGTACCTATACTATTTTGGGGGTTCTTTATTCTAAGTATCGTATAATGGACCCCAAAACCCTCTTCGCCTCAAGATGATGTTCAAACCCCAAGCCCTAAATCCTGTTCAAACGGATCTGGATGACTCCTTCGGCATCGCAGATGATCTCTTGAAGGATTGCTCTTTAAGGGGTGCTGGAACCCGTTTCTAAGTTCCAAAACCCTCGGCAAGATCCAAGTCTGCAGCTTCAGGTCGGGTTTAGGGTTTAGGGTTTTAGGGTTTAGGGTTTAGGGTTTTAGGGTTTAGGGTTTAGGGTTTAGGGTTTAGGGTTTAGGGTTTAGGGTTTTAGGCCTGGGGAATCAAACGTAACAGAAATTCCTGCCACCCCCATGTTTCGTAGCACTAATCTGGAACGTCACGGAAACCCCAAGTTCGTAGCACTTATGTGCTCTCACGAGTGCTTCTTCTGATTACGTGCGCTTTTGTACATATGCTGTTGGTGCAGCCCATTTTGGCTAAAAGCAACCGGAACCCTAAACCCTAAACCCTAAACCCACTATGCGGAGCCTTGCCAGCCTTGTGCGAGTGTGATGAGTCGAAACCCTAAACCCTAACCCCCCCTAAATCCTAAACCCTAAACCCTCAACCCTCAACCCTAAACCTTAAACCCGGGCCTTCCCCTGAACCGGCACACGTGCGCTCTGCAATTGTCTGTGTGTGTGTGTGCATGTGTTGTACACGTAGATCTCCACGGAGACGATGATCCAGACCTCATGACCTCAGCCCGCAGGTACTGACGGCGAATGGCATGCATTCAGGTGCTTCCTTCCGCATGTGTGCGTCACTCTGCATGCATGCATGCAGTACTGGCCATGTGTGTGGATGCATACCTCTTCGATGTTGCTGTTTTCTAGGTCTCAGTTTTCTGTTGAGCTAGCTGTAGTTAGTTGGGGATGGCGTCCCCGGCAGCTCACAAGTGGTTGAAAAATGCAGTTTTGGCAAACCGCGGTGCAGCCGGCCATTTGGCATTGACGCCGAATGATTTTCTGAACCGCAACGACGTCATCAACAATTCTGTGATAATTTCGACCGTCATAGCCTATCACGGGCTTCGCCCAAGTATCGACGTCTTGACGGATGAGGTTGATGCCTTTTTCCGGTCAGCGAGACCAAGAGGCAAACCGGAGATCAGCAGCAACACGGCTTACTATTGCGCTTGCAAACTTCCTGCATTGCACTGCATGCAATTTCTAGCTGTGTGTGGCAGCTTAGGGGATGTGTGCCGGACCCAAGCGTGGGTCCTGAAGCGGCTCGTGTCAATTTTTGCACGTGCAGCTCGAAGAGGCCACTACCCACGAGAGCGTGCCTTCCGAGACATCTACCGTACAGCAGGAATTCCTCTTCCAGATCACCCGAGCTTCTTGCACTAATATCCTGTCTGTGTGCTTTCGTGAATTATGCTTCGATCTGTGCATCTACATCCTTCTGCAAGGTGCTGCTAAAGACGATGTCGAGTCTGATGGTGATGATGTCAGCGACGAAGAGGCAGAGAGCGAGCCGTGCAGTGTCGAGGAGCTTTAATATATTAGTAGTTGTACATGGCAGGGACATGACAGACATGCGCCCTATCCCGTCCCTATCTCGTGTGCATGACTCCAGCAGGACATAGAGGTGGAGCCGGAGGGGGAGGATGCTTTGAAGGACCCCAGCTGACTCCAGCTTGAATATGTGGTCAACAGCAGCAGACAAGCTAGAATTGGGACGCACACAGGGTTGCATGCAATTGCGACCCGTCACTGCCGAGGCATCGACCTGACGGCCAACTCCTTGAACAAGCTGTTGCCTGAGGAGGCACTCAAAACGCCCTCTTCCGGGAAGGGCAGTGACTGTGGAAGTGCTCGTATGAGCCAGCGATCCATGGGGTCATCTGACAACCCGTGGGTGTCAACACCAGAGCCCAAAGGAACCTAGGCCCCAATTATCAGCGGTGGTATTTGCAAATAGTACCCTCGTAAACCCTAGAAGTCCCAAACTCCTAGCTTTAGCGAGAAGATCTTCTGCTGACACCAAGTCGACTAGCAATCTTACAGCTGAGGATTGTCTTTCTCGTCACCCAACACACCCGAGAAGCTGACCATGACTTCCACTGCTCCGGTAGTGCGCCCAGCTTCGGCCTCGGAGGTGGCAGATCTGGCTGACAAGCAGGTCTTAGACCAGCTGCTAGCAGAGGAGGAAATGCTGGTACAGTTGCAGATGATGCAAGAGCTGGAGCAGGAGGAGGCTAAGTTGGCTGAACTTGTTTCTGCCCTCCAGCTAGACACAAAGACGACCCAGCTTTCTTCCCCAACCTATGCCGCCTCCTGTGTCGTAGTTGCATGATCTGACTATATATTATTTATCGCATGTACTGTTACCTGCCATGTGCATGCAAAAACAATGCCTGAAGCCTAAGGTCCTGATGTTTTCGACACTGTGCCCTATGAGTTTCCGGACATTGTGCCCGAAACGGCTGTGGCAATGAAGTTGCTCGGAAGAAAGGACTCAAGCTGGCTGCAGTCCGAAGCTTCTGAGATCGAGAGCCCTTAGAATATCCCAGCTGCAACCGACCCAGCCGAGCAGCCTCGGAGGCCTGCACTTTGGGTGTTTCCGGCGCATGACGATGAGGCTGCAAAGGGTAGCTACCATGGCTTGTCAAAGGTGGATGCAGACACGGGTCTGCTGGAGCCCGTGCCGGGAGCAATGCCTGCACGTGCACCGGAGTCGCCAGAGGCCATGGACACTGGGGCTGATGGCGCAGAGGATTGCGAGACAGAGCAGGCGTTGCAGGGGGGTGATGGCTCAAAGGGTTGCAAGACAGAGCAGGCGTTGCAGGGGGGTGATGTTAAGGATTGCAAGACAGAGAAGGCGTTGCAGGGGGGTGATGTCTCACGGGATAGCGAGACAGAGCAGGCGTTGCAGGGGGGTGGTGGCTCAAAGGATTGCGAGACAGAGCAGGTCGAGCTGGGGGTTGACGACCCTGTTCGGGCCATCCTGAAGAGATTGCCGCCCATCTCGCCAACAGAGCAGAGCAAGCTGGCCGCCAAGCGTGCAGCGGATGAGGAGGCCGATGAAGACGAAAAGCCCCAGCGGTCCAACCGGGGACGTGGTGGGCGCGGCCGGGGACGTGGCCGGGCGGGACGTGGCCGAAGTGCTACAGGCCGCGGGCGTGGCCGTGGCAAGGTGGATGAGGATGAGCCAATGGAGGAGGTGGCAGAGCCACCGGCAAAGCGCAGGGCTATGGCAAAGTGCCGCCCAACGGCAAAGGCCAAGGCCACAGCCAAGGCCAAAGGGAAAAGCAAGCCGGTGCCCCAGGCAAAGTGCCAGGGCAAGCCAGTGGAGGATGAGGATGATGAGGATGCAACGTGCTATCATGGGTCACCGTTGGCAGCGGCTCCCGGCACACCGGAGTCTGTGCACGAAGCCAAGAAGGCAACGGCCAAAGGTAAGGCAAAGGCAAAAGCAGCAGGGCTGCGAAAGGGATCCAAGCCGGCTGGCGGTGGCAAGCGCAAGGCGGAGACCAGTGATGGATCGGCTGCCAAGCGAGCCAAGCATGGATCCAAAAAGGATGTCGCTGAGTCCGATGATGCTTTGGCTGCCAAGCGTGCCAAGAGCCGCAAGAGTGTGGCCTATCACGCAGCTCGCAAGGCTGCCAAGGAGCGTGGACTTTCGGATGAGGCCGCAAAGGAAGAGGCAAAGCTAGATTCCTGTCTGCATGCATCTAGTAGCACGTACTTTGTTAAACGGTGCAGTTCCAATGTCCCATCCAAAACACTTCCTGTGCATGTGCTGAGCTAAGGCCTACAAGGCGACTGAGTAAATGATTTTGGGGTCATATACTGATCCAATGTGAGCAGGCCAAAGGCCTTGTTACGGGGTTCGGCTACGTGCTGTGCGCTTGCACACGTGACTCAGCAGCTAGGTGTGCAGCACAGGTCATTCGATGTGAATGTGAACATGTGGCTCGGGGCAAAAACCGCGATGCTGTGTGCATGCCCTCCGCAATAGACGTAGTAGGAATCTATACCTGCGTCTTTCGTGCCAACGCAGGTATATGCCCAAAGCTGAGGGCTGGGCCATTCGTGCACGAATATCTGGATCAGGCCTGTCCCGCTTCCTGCAAGCACTTGTTCGTGCATGCCCGATGAAATCGTGATCACCTTCTCTCTTCACGTGCCAGCTGCTCAAGCTGGGACAGTACGGAGATTCGCGTAGCTCAATAGCTGGCTTTTGTTATGGATGCTCCCATGTGTGAGTCCATGGTTGTCAACCTGATTCAAATTGGGGCTCCCAAGGCCTGGATTGCATTTCAACAGATATGCATAGATGCAGCTGTGTCTGACTCGTGAAGTTATCTAGTCGTTGCTCTGGCTCACTTGCAGATCTTCATTGGGATCATCCTGCTGCTGCTTTGGAGCACCAACCTACCGGAGGTAGAACCAAAGTACGAATTCTTGGACCTTTTTGCTGGTCGTGGGCAAGCATCGAAGATTTGGTAGGGCCCTGATTTGGTATTGGGTAGGTTGGTACTCATGAGGATCTAATACCCTAGACCCCTAAACCCCTAAGCCCCAAACCCTGAACCTCCCCCTTAAACCCTAAACCCAACCCTTGAACCCTGAACGCCTAAACTCCCAGGCGACGTCGGGGCTATTCCGTGGCCAGCTTTGACAAATCCTTGGCTCCGGAGAAACGCGCAATGGACTTTTTGTCCAGTGGCGGGTTTCTGCATCTTGGTTCTTCAGAGGGGTTTGGCTTATAGTCCGATAGTGCCAGGGCTCATCCTCCCCAAACCCACAAGGTCTTCTCGGCCCCACAAAACACAAATGCGATGATCAATCTGGATGGAAGCTCCGGTGATTCCCAAAGCTGCGAGACCTGTGCATCACAAACAGCCAAGCCATGAAACCCCTCAAGACTCTATATCTTGCAAACCCAATAGGGTACATCTGCTCCGAAGCTTCCGAGGATTGCACGATCCGAAGATCGTAAGCCACCCTCCTAACAAAAGAAACAAGCCCCGATCATGCTGAAGTTTTAAATCCCAACGGCATAATCCTAAACACCAAACCTTAAGCCTGAGATCCTGAAGCCCTACACCCTAAATAAAGCCCTACATTCAGCCCACTGATGACCTATCCCAGGACTGTCTTGCACACGGTGCTGTGCATGTGCCCAGAGGGCGTGGTCCTCATGGGGCCATGTTGCTCCTCGTGGTGTCTGCCCTCCAGAGGGGTGAGCAAGAGAAGCTTCATTAATGTATTTGGCAACACAAGGCTAGCTTGGGTTAGGGATGCCAACAAAACCATCTCCAGGACTCTAGGCTGCAGTCATCTAGGCCGGCTGCGGTGCTTTTGCAAGCCCTGAATTCAGCAGTTTTTTCAGAGCTAAGGGTGACTTTGGTCTGCATGCTCGCGGTGGCCCGTCATGTCTACTTTGTGCTGGAACATCCTGCCCAAACATTGATGCTACGACACCCAAGATGGGAACAGTTTATGAATGTCCGCTGCTTTGTGCTTCGACTACATATTGGCTTATGGTGTGTGTGTGTGTGTGATTGTGTACAAGTGGTCCTGTTTGTTACGCAGTATCTAGCTTAATCGGCCAGGTCTGGGCCATCCGCTTCTGGATGATGAACCATGGTGCAGCAACCCCGAAGAGAACAATCTGTCTATCAAACGGTTCTTGGATTGGTGGCCTCGATCTGGGCAAAATATCTAGAGACCTTCGGAATCAGGCCGTCAAGACCACACGCACAGGACTTAGCTTCTTGTAGCTTGCCTCTAGTGAAATTCAACCTATGCCATGTGCTTCCCAGGCAGGTGGACTGCCCCTGACGGTGCCAAGAAGTTCTCTGGTCTTAAGACAATGAAGGAAACCCAGCTCCAGCCTCAGCCAAAGCAATCCTCACAAATACCAGACCAAACCCCAAACCCAAACTTAGACCACAAACCACGCCCCAGGACCTACACAGTGGGCTTCTGCTCTCGCCTTGCCGATCTGTATGAAGACCGAGGGCTGCCTGTGCCAGACATGAGGCACAAACTACCAGTGGACATGACAAAATCAGATAAGGATCTTTGGTCTCAGCTTCCACTTTCAGATATTTGGTTGGATGCTGGTTTGCACAATGTGTGGAGTTACATCTTGTCCAACAAGCATCTGAACATCCCTGATTCATGGCAAGATGCGATCCACAAATTCGATCGTGAACTCAGCAACCTGGATACTTGGCTTGTGTATAGATGCATAGTCAAGCGTGTCTATCCCTCTCCCTCTCCCTCTCCCTCTCCCTCTCGCTCTCGCTCTCGCNNCTCTCGCTCTCTCTTTCTCTCTCGCTCTCTATCTCTCTTTTTTGTGTCTCTATAATGTGAGCCCGCTTCCCTTACAACAACTTAAGAAACCCAACCCCCCCAACCAAAGGGGACTGGGTCAGTTTGAGGTGGTAGTGAAGAGTGGGGAGAGGGGGGCCGGGAGGGGGAAGGGGTGTTTGGGGGGGAAGGGGGGTGAGAGGGGGGGTCGGGGGGGCCCACCCCACCCATTTTGCACCCCCCTCCTCCAGCCAAGGACGGGCTGATGCTCATGATGCGCGGGTCTGGTGGGGGCAGGTTGCTTACGCTCGTCGAGTTGCGGGTTTAGGAGCGGTTTACGGTTCAAGCTCGTTTAGGGTTTAAGGGTTTAGGGTTTGAGGTTTAGGGGTTTATGGGTTCAGGGTTTGAGGTTTAGGGGGGGAGGGGGAGGGGAGGGAGAGGGCGAGAGGGGAGAGAGGGGAGAGGGGAGAAGGGAGAGGGAGGGGAGAGGGGAGAGGGAGAGGGAGAGGGAGAGGGAGAGGGAGAGGGAGAGGGAGAGGGAGAGGGAGAGAGAGACTGGCTCCCCTACGCGGTTCTCCACACCTCTTCCTTGTTTGCTTTTCTTGGCCCTGTGTCTTCTGACCTAAAGCTTTGCACCGACGCCTATCAACCCTAGCTCTACAGTCCTCCCTAAACCCCATGCTGCCTAACTAAGCCCTAGAAGGCACAATGTTACAGTGGTCTGAGTACTTAGTATTATTGACACCACATAGTCCCTATATAGTTAGGCTATACCATGCCCCTAAACCCTAATTACTCTAGATGTTCAGCATAACGCCCTTACAACACCCAATCAAGCCCTATCCTCCTCAGTCCTAAAGAGATTCCGAGGCTGCGTGAACAAGAGATCGCAGCGCAGCGGTTGCTGGAGCAGCAGCAACAACAGCAGCAAAGGCAGCCTCTCGGCTTCCCCAGCCCCCAAGCCCGAACCGAAAATCGACCCTTGGGCGTGCCATCGAACATGAACTGTTTGAGAAGGTGCATTGTGCAATTTTGGTTGGAAGAGGGGAAACAACTTGCAAGAGTCGCTGGGGCCCCACGAGCTGTACGGACCAGAGCTTCGTAAAGGCAAAGCCCCAAAATAGAACCTAATACAAGTTCCAGGATCTATAGGGTTCCGGGTACATGTCCTATCCACCGGTTAGGCTTCAATCGTTCATGCTTATTTCGGCTGTTGAGTCCCTACCTAAAAAGTTCAGAGCTTGTCCAGACACAAGTCTGTTAGGCCATATCAAGCTTCAGAGTATATGATGCATAACCCTAGGGCTCCAGACACCTAAATAATGGGCTACTGGGCTATGCAATATATGGCTAGTAACCTAATATTTAGGTAGCTGGGGCCCTAGGGTAACCTCGGTTCAACCTTATTGCAGCCGTCGGAGTTGCCAGTTGCCTGTCGCGTGCTGGGTTTGGGGTCGTGGTTTCGACTGAGGCGGCAGCAGCGCCAGCAGCAACAGCAACAGCAGCAGCAACAGCAGCAGCAACGTCAAAGCTGCCGGGCTGCAAGAGAAAGCCCCAGGATCCGCGTGCCTGATTGTTGATCCTTTGGCCTTAGAGGGGTTTCGTTTAGGTTCTCTTTGGCGTCAAAGTTTTTTCATGTGCACATAAAAAAGCTATATATATATATATATATACATATTATACCATATTTGCACGTGGACCGTTAAGGCAGGCCGAAGCGATGGTTTACTGGGTCCGAAAAGCTGCTTCGGGTCCTGGAAATCTTGAGCTCCTGCAAGGACTGCATTTACCCTCAGCCCTAAACCCTAAACCCTATAACCTCGAAGCCCAAAACCCTAAACCCGAATCCTACACCCACAAGTTTTGGGTTGAGTGTTCGAAGGTAAGTTTACGTACCAGAACTCTGAACTTGGGGCCGACCGCAAGCCAGCGAAATCATCCACCGTTGCTTCGCGGTACTATGTTCGTCCAACCCTTCTCAACCACCCTGCATTGTAAAAAAGCTTTATATAGCTAGAATCGTTAGTGTGAAACAACCTCGACTCAATTCCGGGAGCATTCAACCCGCACAGCCTGCCACTACAACCCTTCATCTTGCCACCTAAGCCCTCCAAGCCCCATTCAACCCTAAACCCTAAACTTGCTAACCCCCATGCCTCAGATAAGCCTCCTTGCGAGGTGCTGCCGGGGCTGAGAAGTGACTTGGTATCGGAGTTAGGATCAGGTCTTGTGCAAAGTTGTGCGATAATATACCTTTCTTTACTGTTAGTTTCTGGTTCCCATAAAATAAATAGGCCGAAAAGTATAAACTTGTTCCCACTGGGTTACTGAACAGCCTAGGGCAAGGCTTAATTAGACGGTTTGGTGACGTTAAAGACTTCTTTTTGAGGGATTCTAGGCCTGGGGATGATGGGGTGTTAGGGCCGTGGGTTTAGGAGTTTAGGCTGCATGCTTTGACGGTTTAGGGATTAGGGTTTAGGGCATGGGGGTTCTGTGGGCTGTGAGATTC